AAAAAAAAAAAAAAAAAAAAAAAAAAAAATCTAAACAATCACCATAATACAAGCAAAGGTTTATATGTGTGTACAAGTCACCAGTTGTAGTTGTGCGCCTCGTAATTGCTATTTTTAGTTTAGTAACTGAAATACTACACAAAGGCACCAATGACTTACTATCTACTAATTCAGACTCCATCCGAGGTGGAAAAGAATGCTTGAGAAGTTCCGCGGCTGATGGACGGTCAGATGGACTCGGCGACATCAGACGCCGTAGCAAGGATGCCTGTTCTGGATATTCCGTGACCCAATCAGAAGGGAGTTCCCCCTTGAGTTTCAGATCAGAAAGAATAACATGTCTCTCCATTGCTGTGTCGAATGGATGCCACAATTCAAAGAACATAACTCCTAAGCTGTACATGTCAGCCTATGTATACAGTGAAACGAGACAACAGTATATAAGCTACCTTGATAGCACAATCTCACGATTATGCATTAATGCTTACAAATGAAAATAATTTTAGATAACCTTCTCATTAATCTTTGGCCACCCTTGCTCTATTTCAGGAGCGGTGTAGAAATAAGTACCAATTTGACCTGTACCATCAATTGATACTCCAATTGCTTCAGTAGCATCCACATCTTGATCCAGTTGCTCCAGCTTTAGAAACTTAGCTGAAAAATAGCACAAAAACAAAGTTTGATTTAGACACTGAAGAAAATCCAAACAACTCAGCCAAAGGTGTATAGCCGCAATCAAGGAGACAGCTATAGAATACACACAAAAGGATAAACATTTACCTTTAATATACCAACCTATATAATTTTGATAATCTATTGGCTAAAGGAACTGTTCAATTTATTTCAAAAGCATTTGTAAAAGAATAAAAGATACAAGTTCACTGAATGGAGATTCACTGAAACAATGATGCCTTCTTTCAGCGCGTTAATTCCTAGATAAAACCCATGCTACTTCATGTAAATGAGGTGATACAAAATCACACTGACTGATGTATGATAGAAGTCAAAGACTGAAGAGGAAACAAATTAGCAGATCATATGATGCATGAAACGAGAAAAAAAACATGTGATAGAAGTTACAGCAGATAGACTTCAATTGCGCAGATAAGGACTAAGTAGAACTTCGGAAACGATTCAATAAGAGAAGCCAAAACAGCTTCGGTTAATATTGACAAATGATATTTTGCATTGACTGACATGTTTATCCAGTCAATCTTTCTGCTACCTCAGTAGATAACAGGTACTTCTAATGGCCCATAATAGGGTTGACTGACTAACATGTTTATCCGCTGAGTCTTTTCACTAGATTGCTAAATGACTAGTATTTCAAATGAAAAAAGCACATTACAAGATAGTTATGGGTTCTCAATTGTAGAACAATATAAGATTTAGGAGAACTGCATCATTATTGCCATAAGACTCAAAAATCATTGCTCCTTAAAAACCTCCATAATCTGTTTGTCAATGGCATAGTATCAGGAAAGAAAAGTTATCCCGTCACCAGGAAGAGCATAACAAAAGAATGAGCTAAAATTTTGCGACTTACCCAGACCAAAATCCCCAATTTTTATATCATTGCGAGCATCAAAAAATATATTATTAGGTGTCAAATCACGGTGGATAATTCCTTGTCCATGTATATGTGCCAGGCCTTCCACAATTTGTCGAAACGAATGCCATGCAAGTTCTTTGTCAAGATGATTATAAGACTCAAACATTTGCCTCAAAGTCCTTCAACCAAGCAGGTAAAGAATAAGTTAGCAAGATATGCTAAACAGATTAACAAGAAATTGTGAAAACTGCACTCAACTTATAACATTTGGAACCATCAAGAATTACGATATCCTAATGAATATTACACCTTCTTTGTGTGTGGCAATAAGGTATTCGGGTATTGAGGGTCTAACGTTCTTGATTTCAACTTGAACTCTTAAAATTTTCCACTTCCAGACTCTTTTTATCATAAATTCATGTATGAAGATGTCACTTTGCTTGCCATTCTGTAGGCAGCCAACCTACAGAAATTTCACATGTTCGCTTGCACACTCTCCATATCATTCATGTCCTAAAGTTTATACGAAATAATATTAATCATGCACACAAGTACCCATAATACAGCTCAAAAGTCAAAACATCTGCTAAACATGATTGAAGAAAAAAGCTCTGTATTATATCAAACTACTTCTATAGTTAAACATTTTAGCCCCTAAATTTAATTATTATTTATAGCTCCCAGAAAATTGTGAGTAGAACTGATGGTCACTTTACCCACTTTTAGGTGCCTCGGACTAATTACATTTACTGGACGATCTTCCACTATCCTTCCAGAAGTGGCAGGACTATACACAAGGGTAGAGGAGAAAACGCACTTCCAGCCATACATTATCATTTCTTAGTCTATTTTAGAAATAAAATAAGAGGGAGCTTTCCAACAGATGTACAAAAAAAAAAATCAGAAATAGATGTGCTTTTAGTTGCCAAATCAGTTCAATACTTAGAAAATGAGGTGCGGAGACATATCCAAACTTTCTCTCCATCCTTGACTCATATACTAAACCCAGAGTTCTAGATATCAAAGAAACGGAAAAAAATTGGGAATGAATCTGAGAATGAAGCTTTGACCTTGGGCAGTATTCCATCTGAATATAAAGGTATGTCGATTCGAGCCTATCTGCATCCGCCAATTGATCTGAAGAACCTGTGTCCCGGTAGCTGAAACTGGAAGACATGCCAGTTTTGGATCCTAATGCAGTACTCCCAAGGTTCCCGGGAACTCCTGTTTCGTACCAAGCCTGAAACATTATATAACAAGTCAAAATAAACATAAAAATGCAGTCAACTCAAATAATAAACAATTTCTTCAAAGTAAATGATATCCTTTCTAGCCCATTATAATATTTTAACAAGCAGTGATATAATTGTAACAAGCATTCTGACTGTAAATATTATAAGTGGGCAAAAAGTGAAAAAAGGAACGACTTTAAAACCATGCTAGCAAACAATCCTCGAGACATAATACCTGGTAGTACCTTACAACGTGCTGATGCTGCAAACGAGAAAGAGTGGCGACTTCCCTACAAACCATATCACAATTGATCAAACAAGCTGATAGATAAGTAGGCATAGCAGAATGTTATAGTGGAAAGTGATATAACAACATAAAGCACTAGCACATAGGTTTCTGCATGAAATAGATATGAATGTAACAAAACCAAGATTCAGAACCCAAAACATTATTAACAAGTGGAAGGGGATGACTAGTGCAGTCAGAAATGAGAATATGATCACGATGTAAATCAAAAACCATAAGATTGAAGGCAAGGATGAAATCGGACGTAGCTATCATGAAAATAAAAGAAGACAGTATTCAGACAAAATTGCATTAACCATGACGGACAAAATTTGCATTTTAATGGTGCAACGACAAATCAATCAATAATTCCAAGGGTATAACCATGACGACAGACAAATTTTGCATTAACCAACTCTTTTCAGAAAATAGCATGGGAAATGAAGAAAAGAAACTGGGAAGGACGAACCACCATCACGAAGTTAACGTTAATGTGTTTTGCAGAAACCTCAAATTCATACTAGAACCAAGATGATTTAATAAGCTCGCGGCAAAAGACATAAGCGAGAGAAGCTCTTCAACAGCATATATCATGGATACTGTCTTTGAACTTCTAGGTATGTTTGTCTGAAATAAATTCATAATTTTATTAATTCCAAGTCTCGTTTTATCACTGCTTCAACATATTCACAACGACTGCACATTGAGCAGGATTCAGTTAGAGAACTTTACCAAATGTCGGACCAAAATTGATAATTTTGTTTCATCTTCATTATTTTTATTATTCACATAGTTGTGGATATGACTTCCTCAAAACCAAATTTTTTTCTTTCTAATGATAACTTTTTAGACAAGATAAACACAAAATCAGTTTACTCTGAAATGTAAATAGGCTAGCATTTAAACTACTAACCTCTGGAAATGCTTTAAATATCATATTTTGCAGAAATTTGTTCAAGAGGAGGTAAAAAAAAATGTCTGCAAGTTGAATAATCCAATTATAATTTGTCAAGATCATTACTGACAGGAGAGGAAAATTTATAATTCATTTACTTTGATAGAAGAATACGCAAATGATTCATATAACAACAACAACAACAACAACATACCCAGTATATTCCCAACTGGTTGGGGTCTGGGGGGCCAGTTGTACGCAGACCTTACCCTTGTAATTATACAAGGAGGTTGTTTCCGTAGCGACCAAAGGTGCATTGCATCGTTTGATATTTTTTTTTTTCTAGAAACTTCACTAATAGAAGAAGCACTAGAATTTAATTGAACCATTTTGATCTAGTCCATTATTAGCACTATGCCAGGAGAATTGTCAACAATGACTCTTCCAGCTCCATTTGCAATGGACAATTCGCAAATGATTCATATACATTGTAGTTATTGTAAGAGCTCGTCACAAGTGTGACTTGTCTATTAGAAAGGACATGAACATGACATGACAATGAAATAAGGTGGTTATATGTTAAAAAAAATATCCCATGCGGATTATTAGGGAAAATAGAAATTGTATAATATGTATAGAACTTCAACAGAAAACAGAACATATTCCAGATAAAAGTTAATTTCCTCATAAAGTTTTAAGGAGTGAGACAGGGAAGAACATGTTTGAAAAACAGAAGAGATTCCAGATAAAAGTTAATTTCCTCACAAAAGTTTTGAAGGAGTGAAAGACACGAATAACATGTTTAAATAGTAATAAAAGCATGTTTATAAAGTCACACAATGTATAGTTGTTTCCAGATTATTTCGAGATATTTCAAATATATATCCAAGTACAGGTACAAGGAGACAAAACACACAGCTAACATAATAATCAGTTATCTGAAACATAAGTAAACATCTAACAAGTTAATATGAAGGTCGCTTAAGAGGTGTAATTCAAGCAATTCTAAACCTTCCCCATTGAAGTGTCCCCATGGAGTGCAGCAAATACAAATGAGTTTTAAGAACAATATAATTGCAAAATATAAGCATCAATCCCGCAGGGAAAAGAAAAATGAAAGAACGTAAATGAAAAGAAGAATGAAGAAAATCGCCATGAAATCAATGACATCAAACTAGCAAAAAAAATGCCGTGTTTCAGGATTCGGAATCTCTTTATCATGTTGCACTTCTGGTATAGCCAGAAGTTCTCTACATATCATAAGTTTCAAGACAAATGACAAATTTTCTTGTCGATTACAACCAAGCAAGTCTACAACTGAGCTTACCATTTAGCATTTAACAAAAAATGCACTAAAAACACGTAACAAAGTGTAGTAGCTAAAATTAAAAGTAGTAAGACAAAACTTCATAAAGTACAATATTATGCATTACACCACCACCCCTGACACCCAAACCAAAAGGAAAAAGAATAAAATAAGAAATCCTCAGGAGCGCTGAAGATATACAGACCTTAATATACGGTCATTTACAGGCAGGCTTTTGTCCTTTAAGCGAATCTTCTTCACAGCATACTGCCGACCATCTAGCTTATTTTTGCATAACACAACATGACCAAATCCTCCATGACCTGTCAATGGTGAAAAAAATATCGTTTTACACACGAAAAATTTCATCTCAATAAAGAAAAATGACGGAAGTAGCATAAGAAGCTAACATTTATAAGAAAATTAAAAATACCAACCGCATCTCGAAAGCAAACAAATTATCAGCCAACCTGTAAATTTTCCAACATTCTAAATAGGAATCTCCTAGAAACAACTACATTAAAACCAACATCAATGATACTTGGTGAATGATCGGATGTAATAAAACTGTGAAGAGTGGAGACATTATGATTCATCGGTTAGGTAAATCTTATTTGAGCCATTACCTTGTACTATACAAGCTAGTCTACTCATTTCACATAAGAACAAGCATTGCTAATGTTTTTGAAGTGGTCAATTGATCTGTGTATAATGAAAGGCAACTTTTGTGCTGTGTAATGCATTTGGCAGTATACGAAAGGCTCTCCAATAAAAGGTAATCCAATGAGGGTGAGAAATGGACATGGGAAACTTAAACGTATTGATGATGAGATATTTTATATTAGTGGATGATCTTTATAAATCAACACAGATTGTTTTGGGGGAAAGAAGATTGATTATATTTAGTCATTTCTGATTTGGAGGAAAGAAGATTGATTATATTTAGTCAGTTATGTGACAAACCCACGAGGTACTTGAAGCAACGTCTCTACCACAATTAATATTCAAGTGTAGATCATTGGGGCAATTCTCCTAGAAAGTTCTGGGCTTAAAACATACTGCAAAATATCATGCCAATACTATCTGGTACAAAAGATAATATTGCAGCACTACAAATGATGAAATTATTGGACACGTCTTAACCAAAGTGGAGTTACAGCCACTCATTTTGTTTAGATATTGATGCTATCGATCACAATACTGGGGGCTCCTCCTAGAGGGATATACAATAAAATTATGTCAAATTATACACACACAATTTTGGCAATCAAAGAAATAAATAAACAAATGAATGATAAGTCAGTTTCGCACATCCTTCATAAACCAATGCAAGAAGCATGTTAAGGGATATGAAAAAAAAAAA